TCTCTCTCTCTCTCTCTCTCTCTCTCTCTCTCTCTCTCTCTCTATGGGTATATTCATCTCTTTGAAACTCGAGCGATGCGACTTTAAATAACGATGATAATTTAGACGATATATATTGATTACAATTGATGGCAGGGTATCGATTTTGAAAAAAGAAGCTTCTTGAGATAATCAAATTGAGGTCGTCATGGAATTACTGCAGAATGCATACCGTAGGACATTTTTCCAAAACATCGGTTTGCACTAAATGGTTCGGATTTGAGCGACTCTTTCAATTAAGTGCGAATATCGATTCGCACGTGCAATGATGTAAGTCTTTTGTCGATTGAATTTTATGCGATTTATATTATCGCAGAAGCTGGAAATTTTCATGCCGCGAATTATAAATATTATGATATTTCAAAAGCCATCCCATTTTACGTTCTGAACGCACAAAAGAAGCTATTATTATTAGCAGAATGAATAATCATTCTTCGTAAAAGAGCTTGGCGTAAAAAACGTATAAAAAGAGGATGGAAACATATTTTTCTCATACTTGATACCGTAAATTCGTAATTATTTATATGAGCATATTTGATGAAAAAATCATTATCTACATATAGTGGGTGGTTTTATAACATTCATGAGAAGTTAATGAGAGTTCTTGCGACGTAATAAACCCTTAAAACGACACTGTGTGCGGCGAATATTAGCGGATGGTTGAATCTTATTTTGCTGGTAATAGTATCGTAATAAAAAACTTTTATTTCAGCTTATCCTGTTCTTACGAGGAATATCATATAGTTGACTAAAGTTACGTTTTAGTAATCCTCTTAAGATCGGACTCTTGCGGGAAAGGAAAGCTCTTCCACCTCCTTCCTTCTAATTTTGTATCTGATCAATAACGACATGTGTCACTTTACGTTTTGCTCCTGTTAAATGTATTAAAACTAAAGGAAGCTTATGGCTGACGGGAAAATAAATAGCGAACATACAGAAAATAAATAAAAACGACAAAAAAAAATAAACATTTGCTTGTACACTCGACATAAATAAAATTAAGAGGCCTTTTCTGTAACTCTTAATGACTGTAATTGTAGCATTACAGTTGTTAAGAATTACAGAATAAGCCCCTAAATAATATTTATATTCGAATCATCTCTCCGAGATATATTTCCATTGAAGAATCCAATAAATGTTAATGCTAGCGTTTTTTTTCCAAATGTCATAATACATTTACAACGTATTACGTTTTATGCGCAAAACCAGGCGAAATGAAATATAAACAACTAATAAATAATAACAGTACGAGTTGAAGTATCTTTCTTTTGATACAACACAAGTTTGATAAATTCACGAAAAAACACGTATTCCATTTTCGGAATATTTTCGTTTTTATATCTCAGAATTTGTCCATTGGCAAATAATATTTGACATGTAAAAAAAAACACAATTCA